GGTCATGAGGGCAGGGCCTTCATGATGTAATTAGTGTTCTTACTAGAAAAGACACTGTTGAGCTTTCAGTTTCTTTGTCTTTCTGCCATGTGAACACATGGAGAGAAGGCAGCTGTCTACAAGCCAAAGAGTTTGAACCAGAACCCAACCATCCTTACATCCTGACCTGGGACTTTCTGCCTCCAGAACTGTGGTTAATAAATGTCTCTTGTCTGAGCCATTCAGTATGTGATATTTTCTTATGGCATCCAAGGCTGATTAATATCCCTTGCCTCTCCTCTCATTTTTTGCTACCTTCTGCCTCTGCCACTCTTCAACAGAGAATGTGGACCTAGTTCTACATTGCCTAATCTTTTATTTTTAAATTTATTTATTTATTTACTCTAATTAGTATATATGACAGCAGAATGCATTTTGATTCATTGTACACAATTGCAGCACAACTTTTCATTGCTCTGGTTGTACACAATGTAGCACTGCACCATATGTGCAGTCATACAGGTACCTGGGGTAATGATGTTTGTCTCATTCCACCACCTTTCCTTCCCTCATGCCCCATCCCCTCCCCTCCCTTTTGCCCAGTTACTCCATTTTTCGCATGCCCACCCCCCATTATGGATCAGCATCCACTTATCAGGGAGAACATTCGGCCTTTGGTTTGGGGGGTTTGGCTTAATTCACTTAGCATGATATTCTCCAACTTCATCCATTTACCTGCAAATATTTTTATTCTCTTTTATTGCTGAGTAATTTCATTGTGTATATATACCACAGTTTCTTTATTCATTCATCTACTGAAAAGCATCTAGGTTGCTTCCACAGTTTAGCTATTGTGAATTGTGCTGCTATAAACATTGATGTGGCTACGTTACCACAATATGCTGTTTTTAAGTCCTTTGGGTATAGACCAAGGAGTGGGATAGCTGGGTCAAATGGTGGTTCCATTTCAAGTTTTCTAAAGAATCTCTATACTGCTTTCCAGATTGGTTGAAGCAATTTGCAATCCCACCAGCAATGTATGAGTGTGTCTTTTCCCCACATCCTTGCCAACACTCATCGTTGTTTGTATTCTTGATAACTGCCATTCTTACAGGAGATGGAATCTTAGTTTGATTTGCATTTCTCCAATTACTAGAGATGTTGAATATTTTTCATATATTTGTTGATCAATCATATATCTTCTTCTGAGAAGGGTCTGTCCAGATCCTTAGCCCATTTATTGATTGGGTTGGTTTGTGTTTTTTGTTTTGTTTTGTGTGTGTGTGAATTTTTTTGAGTTCTTTATATATCCTGGAGATTAGTGCTTTATCTAATGTGAGTGTGACAAAAATTTGCTCCCAAATGTAGGCTCTCTTTTTACCTCATTGATTGTTTCTTTTGCTGAGAGGAAGCCTTTTAGCTTCCCATTTGAATCCATCCCATTTATTGATTCTTGATTTTATTTCTTTCACTTTAGGAATCTTATTGAGGAAGTGGGGGCCTAATCCGACATGATGAAGATTTGGCCTACTTTTTCTTCTGTTAGGCACAGGTCTCTGGTCTAATTCCTAGATCCTTGATCCACTTTGAATTGAGTTTTGTGCATGGTGAGAGATAAGGGTTTAATTTCATTTGGCTGCATATGGATTTCCATTTTTCCCAGCAACATTTGTTGAAGAAGCTATCTTTTTTCCTATATTGCCTAATCTTAAGGTCTAATCTTAAGACCTCCCTGCTGTGTTCTGCTCCTTTATCATTAAAAAAAAAAGATGAATATCAAATCTACTGTAAGATTTCATCTCACCAGTTAGAATTGTGGTTATCAAGAATACAAACAACAATGAGTGTTGGCAAGGATGTGGGGAAAAGGCACACTCATACATTGCTGGTGGACTGCAAATTGCTTCAACCAATCTGGAAAGCGGTATGGAGATTCCTTAGAAAACTTGGAATGGAATCACTATTTGACCCTATCCTACTCCTCGGTCTATACCCAAAGGACTTAAAAACAGCATATTATGGTAATGTAGCCACATCAATGTTTATAGCAGCATAATTCGCAATAGCTAAACTGTGGAAGCAACCTAGATGCTTTTCAGTAGATGAATGAATAAAGAAACTGTGGTATATATACACAATGAAATTACTCAGCAATAAAAGAGAATAAAAATATTTGCAGGTAAATGGATGAAGTTGGAGAACATCATGCTAAGTGAATTAAGCCTATCCCAAAAAAACAAAGGCTGAATGTTCTCCCTGATAAGTGGATGCTGATCCATAATGAGGGGTGGGCATAGGAAAATGGAGTAACTTTGGGCAAAATGGAGGAGGGGAGGGGGCATGGGGACAGGAAAGATGGTGGTATATATGCTATTATATATACTTAATTATAATTAATTAATTAATTAATTTTGAAAAGATGAACAAAGTACTCTACCTATCTTGCCTTATCTAAAAGAAAAATAAAAGCAAAAAAGGCCAAATGTCATTACACATATAAGTTAATGACAATGTCCTGAAAGGAGACAAAAAGCTAGAGAAAGAAAAACTTGAAGGCAAGTGCAAAGAAATGACAAAAGCTGGCAAATAGGCACATTCAAGGAGAGCAGCTCCTGATACACCCTCTCCATCACTGAACTGCTCCAAGATCCAGCCTTCCTCCTCCTGCTATTCCTCTCCACAGCATCTCCCCATCATAACCTTGCTGCATTTATCATTTTTTCTTTCTATTCCTGATGCATCTTATTTCAGTCCATGAAACCCCATATTCTTAAGCCTAGATTTACATGCCTTCCTCTAGGTCACAGAAAAACAATCTGTGGTTGAGAACCAGCAACCCTCCCTCCCAATAAACATCTGTCCAGGTTAACTAGATCTGTGTGTCTACAAGTAACATGTGCCTCTGGGTTAGGGGAGTGTTCTTTCAAAAGGAAATGCCAGCCAGCGCAGTGATGCACTCCTATAATCCCAGCAACTAGAGAGGCTGAGGCAGGAGGATCATGAGTTCAAAGCCAGCCTCAGCAGACTAGAAGGAATTTTGCAACTCGGAGAGACCCTGTCTGTAAATAAAATATATATTTTTAAAAGGGGGTGGGGACGTGGCTCAGGGATTAAGCTCCCCTGGGTTCAATTCCTGGTACCAAATAAAAAAGCAAATGCTATCCCAGGACTATCAAACAGGAATATAATGAGTGCTACAAATGCAAACTACATATTTTAAAGTTTCTAATAGCCACATTTTTTAAAAGTTAGAACATGTGAGTGATATCTCATTTAACACAATATATCTAAAATTTTGTTAGTTTAATACATGAACAACACAAAAAATTTAAAAGATACTTCTTAGTTTTTTCTTTCAAACTAGATCTTCTAAATCAAATATGGATTTTACATTTATAGTACATCTTTATTCAGACTAGCCACATTCAGTAGCTTAATGTGGCTACTGTAGTGATAGCACAGCTCTGGCCAGGTGAAAGAAAAGGTAAGGGATGCCCTGGCATATCAGCAGACAAGGAAAATCCCCCGCCATATAGACTCCCTCTCCCACCCTGGAAAGTACATGCCTATTGCAAAGGCAATGAAGTAAACACTCCTTTGACATTTGAGATTTTTTTTATTTCTCTTTAAGAAAGTTACTCAATCCACTCTCTCCTTCAATATAGCATTAGAATTTTATATAATCAGAACAAAATTTTCCCTCAAGTCATCTTAAACTTAGAAATTGTTAATAATTTCTAAGAGCAGAGAATGGCCTGATGTCTCCTCTTATCCTTTTTGGGCAACCAAAAGGACTCTGCAGACTGTGTTATGTAATGCTCAAGCTTCTTTTGGTGAATCCCTGAGAAAGTGATGACAGCCCATTAGTTTTATTTGCTGAGGAAGCAAGCACCACCCAGCAAAAATGCCCCATTTTTATCAGGTGCATGGGTATATGACAGTAGCAGGCTTCTGTATTTGGGACTGAGAGTAGTATAGCTCTGGGAATTGTTTTCACTGGACTGGAGTAATATTAGACCTTCAATTATAGCAATCAAATGTCAAGGTCTTATGTCAGGTTTATTCATATGCTAGGGTTCCATTGCTTCTAAAGTGATACCCAAGCTCTTGACATTCTTTGAATGTTTTCCCAAAGGAATTTAATAGTATAAATTTCAAAAGAAGAGTGAAAATGAGAATGGTACTGCTTAGGACTAATAAGATGGGGTTCATTTTAAGGAGCAAATTTTTTGGAAGGGCTACTGAGACTTGTTTTGCAGAACACCCTGCGGACAGTCACTAATCTTTTATCTCTTTCTTAGAGCCTCTTTTAAACTTCTTATTCTTATCTTTATCGTTATTATCTTTAGTATTATCAGATCTTATCTTTATTTGAGGGGTTAGCTGATAGAAATTGATAACAGGTAAGATTTTATGTCCAGGGGAATTTTCTATTTTAAATGCCATAAAACCTTCAGAAATGAAAGAATTGAATATCTGTGGGATTTACCATGCAAACAGAGTTTCCTAGATTACCTTAAACTGCACCCCTGCCAACTCTAAAGCTGACTTGGGTTGAGAAACTAGTCTTTTCTCATTATCATTTTCCCCAGAAGGGACAATGGCAAGTTGTTTTGTTTTCAGTTGAATAAAACTTTAATTTGAAGCATATTTCTACTTGATTGTAGCTCTTGTGAAAGGTTTTTAGGGAAAAGGATAACATGAAACTTAGGATGTCTGTTATTTGGAGACTGGATTTTCAAGGATGGCTCATTCCCATGGTTAATTGAAAATAAATGCATATGAATTAAAAAAAAAAGACTTTGCAAGTATGATCCTCCTTACTCTCAAGGGGCTTCCAAGTTTTTTCACAAGCACCCGAAATTGGTCCCTTCCATCCTCAAACTCTCTGGCCAGATGACACAACATCTGTGTTCTCTTTTGAGAACGTGAGAAATGAAGTTTTTTTCATGTTTCCTGTCTTTGAATTCTAGAAGCTCCAGTTAAAACTGCTCAGACTTTCCTTTTCTTGTTTGCCCTAGAAGACAACTCGTCAGAAGAAGAGTTCTGTGGTGGTCTCCCTCCTATAGAAGAGAGTGATAGGAAAATTAGCCTCATCATGGAACTGTCGACCCAGCTTTCCTTTCAGACAGAGAAGATCACTGAGTTGGAAGAAGAGTTGGAGGAGAAGGAAAGGATAATTCAGCAGCTGGAAGACAAATGGGAGCCCCATGTTTCCCAAAAGGAGGAAAACTCTTCAGAATGTTTAGAAGAAACCCCAATTTTCTTTAATCATAGCATCCCTCCTATGGTCTCTGATTAGGATAAAGAAAAACAATAAAAGTTTATTAAGTATCCTCAAGGTAAAGTCCAGAACCCAAGTAGTCTCCTCACTGACAAATTCAAGTTCAAGTTCATGGTTCCTATGATGTTCATATTAGAAAAAAACAAAACAAAACAAAAAAAAAGGTTTATTCAGAAACAAACACTAAATATTTCCCCTGCAGACAGTAGTAGTTACATAATCCACAGAGCTATAGAGTACTATGCTTTTAGACATTCCTAGTAACAAAACTAGACAAATGGTGAAAGAATTTAACATTATCTTCTTACCAAATATTTGTCACACTGCAAGGAAGGGTGGTACCCATCCTGTCCTGGTGTGTAGCTCTGTTGTGAACAGAAAGTTGTCATGGAGAGCCAACTTCAGCTGGAGGTGTTTGAGTGCTGAGGAACAGAACCTTTGCTAACCGAGTTGGTAGCCCCCAGGTGTGTGCTTTATGTCCTCTGAAGTTTATTTCTTTATGGTATACATTTTACTAACATTAGCAAATAGTACAAATAAAATAAACATAAAGCATTTTTTTTAAATAGATGAATCAGAGCCATAGTCCTTTGGGAAAAGCATTCTGGGACAGCATCTCCCTGGAAAAACACACAACAATGATTTTTCCCTTAGGAAAAAGGACTAAGACCAAAGCAAAATACACTTTTCTGTTATGATTGTACCACGTAGTTGTGAGCAGCACAAAATAACAGCAAGAAAAATAGAGCATGGGCAAAGGAAAGCTACTCTGTGATTAACAGATTAGAGGGATCATATCATAGTCCTTTTCCATCCATTCCATTCAGATGAACTACTTCCCACCCAAGGGGAGCAGCTAGACATTAACTTTGAGAAAGATATTAGTACTTGATTCTTACCATTCTTCAAGCAAACAAATATAGCTCTCTCACAAGTAGAACTGAACTGTTGCTTCTTCAGTTTACCTATTAAACAAATATTCATCTAAACTCTTCTGTCTTCCAGGAACAGTCATACATGTTAGAAATAGAGGGAACACAAGAATCCCAACTTTTATTAGCCAGAAGTTTATAGACACGGGTGTCTCCTTAAATGTAAGAATGATTATAATAAGAAATGGGAAATTTTAAAAAGTGAGTAAGCATGGGGTCAACCTAGTGAGCATTGCTTTAGTAGAGGTTTTCATATTTACCAAGCAAGCATGATCAGTGAGAGAGTACACTCCTGGCTTATGGAATATGGTTCAGGAATACGTATTTTAAGAAACACAGATGGTATTCTGGTTAGCATGTTCCAGGAACTTCATTTTAAGATAATAGGTTGGGGCTGGCCTCACACAGAGCTATTACACTTTTGCTTCCAGACTAATGAACAGTGCTCAGAAGGAGAATTGCTCTTTGTGAACCAGGATGAGTCTTCTATATCATTTAATTAGTATATAATCTGATGGTGGATCCTGGCTACCTACCTACAAGGCAAGGCAGGGTCCAAACTTGATTTTTTAAAAAGAAAGTATTTGAGCTATATAATGACTATGAGGTTCAGTACAACAAACAAAACAAAAAAATGGATATTACCAGTAGTTTCTATTTTCATACTGAGCTACACTCTTCCCATATTTGTGTATAACCTTAGTTTCACATGTAATAGCTGCAAATGCATACAGATGCAGTTCAATATCAGAAATGAAACTAACTTACACCTCACTGATCATGAATATGCTCCCACCCCAGAAAACAGTTCAAAACACTTCTATGCCCTTTCTATGGAGTTGACCTCAGCCTCTCAGTCCACTTCAGAAAACTTTTCTCTCTGGTCCTTTCTTCTCACCTCTTTAAACCCCATGATCTCCTTGGTCAAAATTCACTATCTTCTCTGTCCCCAGCTTGATGTCCTAGCTCAATGTCCATGTCCTGACCACAGTTCCTGACACTACAATGATGCTTAGGGTTGACACTTCTTTACATTGTATTTCTGAGAGGAACATTAATCATTCCCTTTTGTTAAGAGTGGAACATTTCTAAGCCAACTATCACCTCCTCACAATTCAGATGTGTTATTATGGCTAACTAAGTCTCCATTTCTTTGTTTTATCAAATATTGTCTTAATCCTGTAGGACATTGGAGATGGTAAAAAGCGAAGGTAGGAAGGAAGAGAGAAAATCCCGTCACATCCCAGATAGGCACCTGGTAACTAACTTCTAGATAATTTCCCCAATCAATGCCCTGGCTAGTCTTCACCATGAAAGCTGCCTTATGGTGGAGATAAAGTAACAGGCAAAGCAGATCTACTATTAATAATTAATTGAGTCTGTCACCTGTACATGTCGGCAGACCAGCCACCAAAGAAGAAGGCATCAAGAGTCACATTACACTGCCAAGCCATCTTTACAAAAAAATTGATCTTGATTCAGGTCTAAGTTATCTCCAAATTAGAAGTTGGGAAGATATTTGGTCCAATAGCAAATAGACTAATCTCTACTAGTGATATTTCAGTAACAAAAATTCTTTAGGTGTTCAGAGAAGGAGATACTGGCCTCTGAGCAATTTCTAAGGAGAAAAATTCACATTTGCAATTGAATCTTTGTTAATGCATGCTCCCAAAGTTGATTTCCATTTTCTGCTATTCCTCCAGGAAATTGAGTAGTAAGCTGCAGATTGTCCTAATCACCTGGTTCAAACAAACTAAAAATCAGATTATGGTACACACTGTAAGCTGAAAGTTCATTTTCTTAGGAGCAAGTTAGAATCGCAAAGGAATCCACTGACCTTTAAAATATCTGGCATAAATATCATGAGGCAATTAACATGCTGATGTACTGGGTTCTTAATGGAAATTTAACAAATCACCAGGAAACATCTGATTTTAAAATAACTAGAAATCCTGTGGAAAAAAATATTGAATGAGTAACTCAAGCCATTCTCTAATTTTCTGAAAACTTTTATAGAAATATATGCAGAGTTTTAATTCCACTTTTTCACCAATCATTAACTTTTTTCAGAGAGAAAGTTAAGATATATGTGATATGTCTCACCAATTTAAGTAAATGTTGAATTTAATGATCATTTAATTATTGTATGCTTAAATGATTAATATGTTTGTATGCTTTCAAATATATTTGCAGCAAGCTAAAATTATAGCAATAGACTTCCTTTATCTATCTATCTATCTATCTATTTATTTACTATTTTATTTACTTTTTGGTACCAGGGATTGAACCTAGGTATGTTTAACCACTGAGCCATATCTCCAGCTCTTTTTGTATTTTATTTAGAGACAGGGTCTGTCTGAGTGCTTAGGGTCTCACTGAGTTGCTGAAGCTGACTTTGAACTCGCAATTCTCCTTCCTCAGCCTCCTAAGACTTTACAGACATGCACCACCTCGCCTGGCCAGCAGTAGACTTTAAAGATCAGCAGAAAATGAAGTCACTGGAGGAACTGGTCCATAAAAGTGAATGAAGTTCTTCAGGATTCAATTAAGTAAAGGTAGAAAAACTAACAATATAATACACTCTGTCTAAATGCATTTCTGCAAAATAATGAATCCTATCAAATTATAATTTTATGCTCCTCTGTGCTCACTCCAAAATCCAAACACTTTCTTCTATACTATGCTGAAGTAAAGAAATTTTGATTTAACTAAACAAATGGAGAAGTGTGGATAAATGTTGCAGGCCTAAGTTGAAATAATATTTACTTGGCAATTATCAAATATAAGGTCTGCAAAGACAAAACTATTCCAATATAAGAAGACATTTAAAAAAAAGACTTGGAAAACTACAAGCTTGAAATTTAAAAAGTCTGACTCTAATAATTTTAAAACATTAGTGCTGGGGAGTGCAGCTCAGTGGTTGAACCCATGCTTGGCATAGGTAAGACCTTGTGTTCAATACTCAGAACCAAGAGGGAGAGGGAGAGGGAGAGGAAGAGGGAGAAGGAGAAAAAGAGGGAGGGAGGGGGAAAGAGAAAGAGAGGGAGGGGGAGAGAGAAAGGGAGGGAGGGAGAGGGAGAGAGAAAGGGAGAGAGGGGGAAAGAGAGAGAGGGAAGAAAAACAGACAGACAAAAAAGAAAAGAAAAATTATAAAGAATAAGTAATAATTATTATAATTTCTCCCTGGTCTTACAATTAAGATTTCTCTGATGCAGGACAGTATTCCTCATAATAAAAGAGAATCAAATTCTAGCAGGAAATAACCTTAAGAAAAAAAATAAGTACACAAGGACAGAGTTTATAACAAAATTCAGTGTTGGCTACAAAGTTTCCCACGTCTAATGAAATTAACATTTTTATGGTAAAACAAAATAAAAACAGTTCTATTCCCATCTTCCCAGAGAAGTCATTTCCATTTCAACAGCATGAACCTATGGTAGGATGACTTCAATTGTCTGGCCATTTCCATCTGTAAGAGCTATATTTGCAGGGCAGAGTATGCAGCTTAGTGGCAGGATACTAGACTAGCATATGCAAGGTTTGATCCCTATAATAACCAATTTCCTTTTTTTTTTTTTTTTTTTGTTTATCAAATAATGACCCTTAATGCTCAATTCCAATAGTATGTAATTCATCTATTCTTGGATGGAAAATCACATAATATGTGCTCTAATAACTCTTGAATCCATTTTCCTGAAATGTCACAATAAATTTCACCTACAGTTTGTTATCTGCTATCACCTTTTTCATAGAATGTTGATATCACAGAATGGGAAAGAACTAGCCCATGTCACGTGAGATACAGTTATTGATTACAGTGAGTTACAGTTAAAAGATAGAGATTTATAATATAATCCTCAGCCTAATAATAAAAAGGGGTGTCTTACTGCCTAACTGCTATTGAAATGAATTGGGTTTGGTGATGGTGAAGAAAACAAGAAATAGCTATATGGGATGCCCATTGTCTTCTTAGGGTCCTGCATTTACTAAGCATATGCTATGGATATAAAAATGTAACTCATATTTTCATAGAAATTTAATGAAAACAATTACAAGTTGATCATTTTATTTAATCCTCATAAAATATATGGGTTTCAGCTATACCACAAATCCCAAAATTCTAACCAGGAAACACCAGAACTAGGGCCTATTGCTACCATGCAAGTACCCTGTTCATCACTCACCACCCTGTGAGCTGTACAACAAAGATCTTCATTGTCTGTATCTCTTTTCTCAAACCAGCCTCCATCCCATTTATAGGAAAATGGTTTTCCACAGGTACTTCTCTCTCTCTCTCTCTCTCTCTCTCTCTCTCTCTCTCTCTCTCTCTCTCTTTCTCTCTCCCCCCCCCTTCTCTCTTTTTGGTATTGGGGATTGAACTCAGAGTTTCTTAACCACTGAGCCACATCTACAGTCCTTTTTATTTTATATATATATATATTCCTTAGGACTTCACTAAGTTTCTGAGGCTGCCTTTGAACTTGTAATCCTCCTGCCTTAGCCTGGTCCCCTGAGCCACTGGGATTACAGGTGTACACCACCATACCTGGCACCTTCTTTCTCAAATTCCATTCCCAATATAGGTCAGAAAAAACCTGT